CTGCGATAACTAACACATTTATTTTTCCATGGGGTGAAGCCAGCATCACCCTGGAGGATATGATCTTTTCCGGGGGATTCTCTGCTGTTGGGAATAGTATTCTGAATCCCCTCAGGGGAGATGAACTGAAAGGAACGGAGGAACAGCTTCGAAAAGCTAGGAAAGAAATTGCCAACACCACCAACACGAAAAAGCCAGGCCAGGATGCCTGGATGAAGGAATTCATGAACTCCGGATCTAAACTCGAGCACGAAGCCTTCCTCATTGTATGGTTGTCAAGATTCGTTTTTCCAACTAAGCATGAAATTATTCGCAAAAATGTTTTTCCTACCGCAATTCAGCTAGCGAGAGGCATTCGAATTGCACTAGCACCAGCAGTCCTTGCCAGTATTTACAGAGATCTAGGCCTCCTGAAAGAGAGAATTGTTAATTCCAGCAAACCTGGTAGTTCTGAGGATGAAAACTTGATGATTTTATCACCATTTCAGTGTGTACAGATTTGGGCTTGGGAGAGAATTATTGAGTTGCAGCCATTGCCTAATTCATTAAAGCCTGGAGAACCAAGATTAGCTCAATGGCACCAGAAAGGTTTAGCACCTGGATTGGATGATATCAGATCAGTCCTGGACTCTGCCAGAGAAAATTTTCGCTGGCGACCTTACACAAAACCTCTAAAAAATTTGAGTCTGCCTAAATTTTATGTCGAAAAAGACTCATGGGTATCAATTGATCCGTCTTCAGACAGGGGTGTTGTGTCACTTGCTAGGTGCCTGAGAGTCTCCAGGCTCATCGGATTTGGATGTCTGCAACCTTATTTTCCACACCGTGTATCATTACAATTTGGATATGATCAGGATCTTCCTGGAATTGTTCCTGAATCAATTCAGACTCCAGAAACAGCCTGGAAAGATTATGCCAAGCCAATTACAGTTGGATTCTTGTATGTCCCATCTCGATATTCCGAAGCAGATTTTACAGTCAGATACCTCAAGTGGTGGAGGCAATCAGTCTTGACTCTCCAAGCTGAAAACAAGCAGGATTCTCAGCAGCAATCTACAAGAACCAAAACTAGCAAGGCGGTTAAATTTGCACCAACCAAAAAGGATCCCAGAAATCGATCCAGACCAATCAAGGGATATCAAGAAACCAGCGAAGGTAAATTAAAT